TTTTATCAATCGGGGAAAACCCGAACCCGATAAACACGGATTTTCCCCCATCCAAATCGGGGCGGATTCGGGCGGGTACCCATGGAGGCGGGTTAGACTGTCATACCTACTCTTTAACGCACTTCTCTTAATACACATATTTTTGTTTATCAGAATTTATTGAAAACTATAAAATAAAAAGAGAATCATTAATTGAGTACGAGACCTACTAAATGATATACTTTTTCAATAAATTTTAATTAATTAAAAAAATACATTTAAGAGAACATGTTACTTACATTTCTAAAAAAAAAATATATTTAAGCCATATTTTTATTTCACTACCTCTAACATTTCTCAAAAACATACTTAATCCATATTTTTATTTCACTATCTCAAGCATTTGGAAGACCATGCATCATTATCATCAACCGAGGGAGGAAGTTATTGAAGTAACATGTGATAAACAAATTGATAAGTATCTTATCTAAATCATCGATTGAAAGTTATAAGTTGAATTCAATAAATTTTATTTTAATTTTATAAATAATTTTAAATTGTTTCCTGATAATAAAAAAAAATTAGGAAAAATTATAGTTTTTTACTCAAATAATACATTTTGAAAAAAAAAATTACCTAAATAACAACTGTGCAAATTTATTTTCTCAACTAGCACCATTCACTGTTTATATTTTTTTTTATATTTTTTTTCGTTTTGGGCCCAGGTGATCTGTGAATTTTGCATCTGGAACGGCCGGTTTTGCAACCAGAACGGGCCGTTCTGCATGCACTCTCATATGTTTTTTTTTTGTATCTGGAACGGCCCGTTCTGGTTTAGAGTTGAGTTTTATCTCATAACCTCAATGTTGGAACGACCCATTCTAAACTAGGGATTTTAGCCCTTTTTAGTAGTTTAGAACGGGCCATTCTGCTTTTGGAATGGTCCGTTCTGGCCACTTCTATGTAGTGTCTTCTTTTATCAATGTAATATGAATTTTAATGTTTAGGATTTTTACTTTTAATGCATTATGTCACTTATAAACTATTATAATTATACATTATTTGGACATGTTTTCATAGTGTGATGTGCAGGTTATCCAGATTTTTCATTATTAGTCATAGTTTGACTCTTACAAGTTTCAAATCTATTAAGACAAGGTCCCATTATTATCATCTCGTGTTTTCAAGTTTAAGACACTATAACTTCATACTTCAAAGGTGTTTCCTTTAAATCTAGCTTCAAACTTAGCATTGCAGCGAACACAATTTACCCTTTCAACACAAACACAACGTAGTTTCAAAGACTAACATCAAGTAATTAAATTTATTGAATATTAACATTATAAATATAACTAAATAAATTTATTAAAACTCATTACAACAATAAAATCAATGGTGATGGGAACTAAATCCATGACCAATATTTGGACATGTCTTCCTAGTGTGACTAGAGTTGTGACAATAGGAACAAATTTTTACATGATTATGTTATTCTCTAATGTCCATCTTTATTCTAATCCTGCTAGACTTTGGTCGACCCTTGGAAGTACTCTTAATATAAGTTCTGGATTTGGCCACATAGTTAGTTGGACCAGTGTAAGTAGGCCAATAATCTTCATGTCGGATCTCTAACATGAAAGACAATTTGGAGAGCTCCGACATGAAGATTATTGGCCTACTTACAGTAGTCCAACTATATGGCCAAATCTAGAACTCAAGAGGACTTTCAAGGGTCGGCCAAAGTCCAGTAGGATTAGAACATAGATGGACATTGGAGAACAACATAATCGTGTAAAAAATTGTTCTTATTATCACACCTCTAGTCATACTAGGAAGACATGTCCAAATAATGTATAATTATAATAGTTTATAAGCGACATAGTGCATTAAAAGTAAAAATCCTAAATATTAAAATTCATATTACATTGATAAAAAAAACATAGGGCATAAAAGTGGTCAGAATGGGTCGTTCCAAAAGCAGAACGACCCGTTCTAAACTACTAAAAAAGGCTAAAATCCCTAGATTAGAATAGGTCGTTCTACATTGAGGTTATGAGATAAAACTCAATTCTAGAACGGCCCGTTCTGATTTAAGAACGGGTCGTTCTAGATGCAAAAAAAGAACACACGAGAGTGCATGTAGAATGGCCTGTTCTGCAACCAGAATGGGCTGTTCCAGATGCAAAATTCACAGATCACCTGGGCCCAAAACAAAATAAAAAAAATAAAAAAAATGTGAACAGTAAATGGTGTTAGTTAGGGAAATAAATTTGCACAGTTGCTATTTGGGTAAATTTTTTTAAAAAATATATTATTTGAGTAGAAAACTCGAAAAATTACACTCATTTCCTTTTAAGGTTGTATAAATGACAAAAATTTTCTTTCTAATTTTCAAAAACTACTAACTTTCCTTGACATCATTAGTTAAAGTGAAAGAAAAAAAAGTTAATTCATATTCTATCAATTATATATGTGTTTATCATTCATTTTCAAATTACGTACAATATCTTTTTTCTTTATTAAAAATTTACATTATTTTTCAATTTTGAAAATAATAATTTTGCAGTTCGTTCTTTGAAATTGATATACTATTTAAATTACAATATGCATAATATTTAAGATATAATTTGATATTTAAAATTAAGTAAGATTAAATCTCATTCAATTATTGACATTTGTATTGATAATTTGATCTTTCTTAACAATAAAGTTATCTTATATAAGGTGTTATATGTGTCGCTTTGATAAATAATTAAGGAAAGTTAGTATTTACTTCAAAATTAGAGAAAAAAATATGTGATTTAAAAAAATCTTAGGGAATGTGAGTGCAATTTTTAAAATAAAATAGTTATTTCACCCTACAC